TTATAGTTTTGCTTGCAACTGTTTGTTTTTTTGCCAAAATTGAGCTAATTCTTGATTAGTAGATGACCGTGTTGTATTAAAGTCAATGTACAAACTCCTTCATCCATCTTTTTCTTGTTTTAGTGTTTGGACTTCTTTTTTGAGCTTTTTTTTGCAAGCTTCAACTCCTCAGACTCTTTTTTTAGGCTAGTAGAGGACTTTGCTAGGATTTTCATAGATATAACTGAGATTTTCCTTATTAAAAATTATTTCATGAAAAATATTCCTTCTGATATGAATGCATGATAAAAGGGTTAGTAAAAAAAAAATACAAAAAGGCAATATACAAGGTTAGTATATAAATATAAAAAAGATAATAAAAACAAATGTCTAATCATGTATCTTATTTAGGATTTTCTAACACAGAGAAAGGCATGGCTCTACCTATGTTCAGACCCTTAAGGTTAATTATATATGGCTTGGATTACTTCTAAAAGGTTCCTAAATTGTTCCTTACATGATTGTCCATCATAGATTAGTAAGATATTTCGATCCTCGTCCATCAAAGGCTACAAGCAAAAAGGGTTCAATTTGAGTGGAAATATTTCGCAAGCCCATGCGAAGATATGAAATCTCACGAGAGTATAAGTATTTCACTCCCTCATAAGGGTAAAGTTCGGGTGGAGAGTTTTATGTTATGTACATGTAAATAAATGATAGATATATACAATAAATAAACAAATAACTAAACAAATATAAATGATGAAAAAAAGTAAATAAAAATAAAATAATTTCAAATTTATTAAGCAAGGCTTGGATAATAAGAAATCATTTATTGGCTTAACTCTCGATGTCTCTAGTAGAGTCACCAAACTGTCATAACATATAGATTCGTGATCCTGCAGCTAGACATTGATTAGAATGAGTCATCACCAATTTTTTTTGTTTAGGTACGATTGGTCACCTAAAGTATATTCTGATCTATGAAATCAAATTTTAGGTTTGTGAGTGCAGTTATATGTAAAAAAAGTTACAACACCCTCACAACATCCATCCAAAAGATGGTATCAGTTGATTTTGAATTATCCAAGCCTTAAAAATGTTTATGCTTTATCAAAATATTTAATATTAAAAATTAATCTTAAGATCACCCTAATAGTTTAGTAGTAATTTAAGATAATTCTCTCACTTCAAGAGCATTCATAGAGATTAGTGTCCCACTCTGAAGAGGCTTCGTCATCAGATTTATTAATGTATTTTATTAAAAAAAATTAGTAAAGCCTTCCAATAATTTGGTAGGATTTACTTTGAAACATATCTTCTAATAGTTTTATAGGATTTTATTTGAAAGATATTTATACGATTTTATTTCTTAAGAAAATTTTATTAAATATTCTAATAGTTTGGTAAAATTTAATTTAAGAAATAATCCTCCAATCGTTTGGATGATAAAACTATTTTTATTTTTTAAAATTGATTTATGAAATTTCTCAATAATTTGGTGAATTTCATAAAATTTAATTCAATGAAAAACACTCCAATTGTTTGGCAGGATTCGAAAAGATTTTTTTTACTTTATTTTTTATTTTCTTGTTTTAACTTAATTTTAAGTTTTGAATATTTATTTCCTATTTAAAACAAAAGTCTATCTAATAAGTTATATTATAACAAAAAAATATAATTTTAAATTGTATTTGCATATTTTTGCATTATATTTTTTAGTATAATATAACTTATTAGATAGATTTTTTTTTAAATAGAAAATAAATATTCAAAACTTAAAATTAAGTTAAAGTTTTCAAATTATTATTTTTTAAATTTAATACATTTTTTAAAAAAGTATGAAAAATATTATTTTACTTATAAGTTATAATAAAACATATTATTTTCTATCCAAATAATTTATTTTTTAAATATTAAATATATTTTATATATTTTATAAAATATGTTTTATAAAAAATAAAAAATAAAAATGTTTTAAAGTATATTTTTAATTTATATGAATATAAAGTTTTTATATTTTTGAATATATTAATAAATCTGCTTTTGAAAATGATCTGAAAATTTTTACATAATATTTTAAAATGATATAGAGTTTTTATTTAATTTCTTAAATTGATATAAAAATGTTTACTTAATTTTTTAAAATGATATGTAATTTTAACAAAATTATTTTAAAATTTTCAACTTAATTTTAATTTTTAAAAATCTATTTTCTTTTAAAAATATTATGTTATTGATAAATGATATCATAATAAAAATTAAAAGATATTTTAATTATAATATTTTATAAAATATATTTGAAATATATAAAAATCAATTTTTACTTTTATTTTTTTATCTTTTCCTTTATTTATTTTGTATATAATATATTTCAAGAAAGAAAAGAAAAAATATTTAATATTTTAAAATATATATTTTATAGATAAAAAATAATATTTTATTATGATTTATGGATAAAATAATACTTTTAATAAAAAATAATTATTTTTTGTTTTTAAAATAATACGCGTGTCTATATAAAATGATAAACCATTTATTCTTTATCAAACTATAAGTATTTTATTGGTTCATAAAAATAAGCATTAAATTAATCAAAGATACCAAGAAAAAAACTATATTAATAAAAAGAATTTTGATAAATTTATTGTGAGACATCAAAAAAATGACTGAAAATAAAGACAACAATCATTCTTATTTGTTTATTTCTAAAAATTTTTATCCTTTAACCATAAAAAAGAATTACGAATTTAAATTTCTTTTAATTTAAGAGATAAAATTGGTATGCGTAGAAATCTAATATTTTTAAATAATGTAAAATATTGTGATCAAGTTTTGAATAAAAATATATTGATAGTGATTAAAAGAAATTAATTAAATTAAAGTTCTTTCTTTGGCTCAATTATCGGTAAAAAAATTTAGTTTGTATGAATTACTACTGGTTTAATAATTTTAACTTATTTTAATTTTTTAAAAAAATATTTTTTATTAAAAACAAAAATATAACTAATAAATTATATTACAATAAAAATATAAAAATATAATTTTAAATTTAATATTTTACAAAAAATATATAAATATATAAAATCTTGAGATAATTTTGTCTTTAATCTTTAAATTTTGAAAAATTTTATTTTGATATCTCATTTGTCATGTAAAATATTAATTAATATCATCACATGATATCAATTGATATTTATCATCAATTTAAATGATTTTATAATGGAGAAATTACATTGATATATATTAAACAATCGAAGACTTAATTAAAGTTTTTTAAAATTTAAAAATTAAAATAAAATTTAATTCAAAATTTAAGAATCATGAATAGTATTTACTTTTTATAAAAAGCATTATTCTAGTATTTGTGGCAACGCGTTTATTTATTTATTTTTTTGGTAATGCGTTACAATTGTCATTGACCTCAGCATATTTGGCCACTCACCGTCCAAAATGCATAAAGGAAAAGTGAAAATCTTTTTCTTTATGGTCGGAAAGGAAAAGTGGAAACCTTTCAAAGCAAAGCACCCGCTCTTTTTGTTGCTTTATCGATAATTTCAAATTAAACTATGCGACAAGACATGTGAGTCGTCCTGTCCAATGGAGTTACCTTAACTCACGTTTAGATAAATATTAATAAAAAATAAAAAATAAAAAATAAAAAGATTCTTTTAAAAAAAGAAAAAATATATAATTAAAATTAATAACGAAAAAAAATTCTAACATTGTTAGGTTAAATAATGAAAAAAATAATTATTGTATTATTTTTTATAAAATAATATATAGTATTAAATTAAATTTTTTAATCAAAATATAATTATAAAATAATTACAACAATAAAATTATTGATTTTTGGATTGATTTAATTTTTAAAAATTTAATTAATAAGTGTTTATAAATATTAATTAAAAATAATAAAAATATTATTTAAATATATATAATGCATTTTTTCATTAAATTTTTTAAAAATAATGCATTAAGTATTATTTTTTCCTTAAATTTTATCATTAATCAGTTATAGTAACATTTTATTTTTTTTAAAGCGATCGAAAAAACTTTATTTGTTGGTAAAATTTTAAAATCCAAAGTAAAAATTATGATTACGGTAATTTATATTTATCCAACTTTTTAACCCTTTTCTAAAGAAAAGAAAACAATAAATATACTTTAATTTGTTCAATTAAAGCAATATAAAAAAATTAGTACATCTTATCAAATTACAATTATATATAAAACTGTACTTCACTTTTGATATGTCAACTTTAGATTTTCTTAAAAAATAATCAAATCAATAAAATTTATAAAATATTAATAAGTAAAAAAAATTGAAGACAATCTATTCATTAACAAATGATATTTTATATTTTCAATTTATTTTTAAAGTTTAAATAATACATTTTAAATTTTATTGAAATTAATAAAGATCTAATAATTATTTTATATTTTAAATATTTTATATTTATATTTCTTTCCTTTTTCTCTAATTTGAGGTAATTTAAAAAAATGAAAGAATTTAAAAGAAACCAAAGGAGTTAAGCATTCTTCTTTTCTTTTCTTTTAATTTATGTTATATACAAACAAAGCAAAATATTCCCCCCGGTTCCTTTTGTTTCTTTTCCTCTCCTTTCTTTTTCCTAACTTTCCTGTAATCCAAACATGACTTAGGAGCATTATTAGCGGCAAATGCTATTAGGAGTGAAAAAAAAATTAAAAAATAAAAAATAAATTCAAAATCATAATATTCGATTTAATTCAGATTAATTTTTTTTATTAAATTCGAATCAAATTTAAATATTAAATATATATATTAAGTTTGGATCAAATTTCGAATCGAATAATAAAAAATAAAAAGAATTTGAATCAAATTATATATATTTTAATTTTAATTTTAATTAATTTAAAATTAAATTAAATTATATAAAAGTGTAAACTCTTTCGATATTTATTTTTTTATTCATAAAATTCAAAATTAAAATTTTATTTAAAAAAAAGTTAAACTCTTTAATTATTCGGATCACCGTAACTAAAAAACTAAAAGGGTAACATACTAAAAGACAAAAGATAAACTAGCCTCTATAATTCTATGGACATCCGGTAGCCGGTTCCAAGTTTGAAAAATGGCAGGACGTGACTTTCTAAAAAAGCGAGTGTTCTTAAGCGGCTGTATCAGTGACTGCCTCTAGCATTTGGCGCTACAAAAATTAAGGGGAAGGGCTGCTGAAGGGGTTTCTTATACAGGTAAAATTATCCATGCCAGTCACTTTATTGTTTGCGGGAGGAAGCTGCTGTTATTTCATTGCATTCATCATTCGTTTATGAAAAACAAATAAATAAATAAAGCATTCATTATTTGATTTCTCCCATTTTTACTCTCATCAAACTGCCTTCATTTACAATAATTTTCTTCAGTTCTTGGCATCCATTGAAAAAAACATGCATCCATATCTCTGCTACATAATTAATTCCACCATGCATTTTCGTCATCGTCAAACCATTATTTAATAATCAAGATTTCATTGTTACATAATATATATAGAATGAATCTGTTTTAGGCATTGCCGACCTTCTTATGCTTGCTGCTGCCACTCTTTTCATAGTAATGGTAAGCTGCTGCACCAGACAGCACCGCCAGTGTTAGGGCTTGTGCGTGCATCCTATCAAATCAACACAGTACATCTCATCATCATTAGTATTTGACACAAATTTACTGATAAAACTACGGAATCTGAGATGCTACCTGGCATGAATAAGCCTCAGACTTGGCTTAAGAGGAGTTCTTGCGCGAGTATTATATGCCAGTGATGCACCTATTGCTGATGCCCAGGTTGCTCCTGTAACACTCAATATTGCACCACATCAAGAAATGTGAAGACACACAAAAATATGAAAGAAAAAGAATAAAACTGACCAATGCTGGTGAGTTTATGCTCCGAGATCCAAGACTGAATTGCCTCCATCTCTGAAGTAATAGTTAGAAAACGAGACTGAGTTGGGGGAAGCAAAGGGAGGGAAGGTAATTTATAGATACGTAAGAGATGATATTTAGATAAATGCATTTTTTATACGTGTTAGGTGGTGGCCCCTGGATTTCGAGTTTTCACTTTTCTCGGAACATTGTATAAGGTTAAACTGGAGGCTTTCACCTGGCCGGTTTTGTTGGTATTATTTCAGACTCCCAATTCTTTTGACATGTGCTTAGATGCTGTGGGCCATTTGCATTTCAACAATATAAATCTAGGAGCTAATTGCAGATTTTCTAACTTTGATTTGATAATTGTGTGCATGAGCCGAACTAGATATTTATTAACACTACATATGTTTATAAACTATTTATTGTTAAAAAAATAGATGCTTAAATTACTCCTACGTAACTTTTAACCCATCTCTTAACCACTATGCTAAGAGAGGAAAGTCAAGGAGTTTTTGAAACAAACCAGATGCAAAATTATATAGAAAATTTGTCACTGCACTGTTCTTGAAGAAATTATAAAGTGAGGATAGTAGATATTTTAGTTAGGGAAGTTCAACTTTAGCATAGGGCCCAATTTATACGAAATTTATAAAACTCAATTTTCCAACCCAACAAAATGACTATTTTGTAGCCAATTCGCTGAATCCTTGGCTGCCCCAACCAATTCCATCCATTTCCTGATCCCTCCATCATTTTCATGGCCCAATAAAAGTGTGTAACCAAAGAAAGAAACAGAGTGTTCCCGCCAACTCGAAATCAGCTACATCATTGCACTCTACGGGAGAACTGAACCTGAAGAATTCTCAGAAAAATAACAGAAAAATGGACGCAACGAAATCAAGAAGAAAAGCCAGCGAAAGGAAACCCTTCATTGATCTCAGCAATACAATCCCATCATCTCTTCCTTCTTCACAATCCTCTTCTTCTTCTTTAATCAAACCCCAAACCAAATCTTCACTCTCTTTGCCTCTTGAATACCTTCTCAACGACAACCCCAATTCAAACCTTAATTATAACTACAAGTTTACTGGAACTGAGTCCAACACCATGATAATATTAACTATGACAAGAATAAGAAGAAGAAGGAGAACGAAAAGGGTTCAAGTAACAAGGCAAACCCTAGCTTGTCTCCGCCGCCGAAAACGCCTTTTGTTTCGGGTAATTTTGATGGGTTTTCGATTTTTTCTTGGTTTTGATTGGATTTCTTAACAGGGTTTTGGTTTTGTGGTTTTGGGCTGTCTAGCCTCTAGGGTTTTTACTTCTTGAATTTGGGTTTTTTTTTGTGGTTTCTGGCGAATGTTAGTTTGTTGTTTTAATATTAATGGATTGATTAACATTTTGCAACAATAGAGCTTTAAGGGTTTTTATTAAAATTGTACTGGTGAATTTTGTTTTTTATGAATTAATTAACATTTATTCTGCAGTAGAGCTTAGTGGGTTTTAACTTTATGCTCCGTTTAAGCTATATAGAATTGCTTCTGTTATAATTATATGAATTTGAATTAATGTTGATTTTATTAACTTAGTTTCTAGTAGTTTTGCTGAATGATTCGTTTACTTCATTTTCAATGCAAGCTACATAGCATTGATTGTATATAGTAATCTAGATTGTAGATAGTGTCCGAATTCAGTTACTGTTTTCAGCTATGGAGCTACTTGTTGTGTTTTAGAAACTATAGTTCAAATACACTCTATGGTGTGGAAATTATGTGGAAGTTGGCTATCTATGTTTTCTCAACCACTTTTTTGGCCTTAGTTTTCTGGATTATGCATGTATTTTTGGGTGTAATGAATTGTAGATTATGGTTTTGATTTTAAGTATTGGTGCTTGTGTAGGTTCTGAGCCTTCTACAGTTTACAAAGGAGATATACTGCCAAAAAAAGGAAGAGTAAAGGGAAGGAAATGCTGGAGCCTTTGAGTTACTCTCTTGAAACAAGGATTCCAGACTTAAGGTGGTTTTCTTTTAATCAGTTTGTGCATTTCTTGCTGGTTTGGTACTTGATCCTTGGATAACAATTAGTCTTTGATGACTCTAGAAGGCAAAGGATACTTAAAATGTGTTCGATAAGCGTAATTAAAAGAATAAGTGGATTAATTATCAATGTCATGGTATGGTAGTCATTTATGCCGTCAAATGGTATTTTCATTATTGTAAATAGCCACTAGCCATATACCATTCAATAAAGGATGGAAGTGTTCTTCAGCATTCACTCTCAACTCTGTAGGTGGTTAGGTTTTGGGCAACAATTCTAAGATGAGGACTCCAAAAGTTTGGTCAATCAAGTGTACCAAAATTTTGGGCTTTTGATACCTTGACCATATTGGATATTAGAAAGTACAAAGAAAAAGGCCTAATATATTGTTAAATTGATTTAAATAATTTAATTTTCACCATTTATCTTCCTTTTTTGATACGTTTTATATCCAATCTCATTCATATATCTTCCGTTTCCTTTCATAATTAAGTCTTTCAAGAGATGGTGGTTTATGAGACTGAAAGTCTGTTGTGTCGCCTTGAAACAGTTTTGCTTTAGATGCCTGTGTTTTCCTTATTTTTTTAACATTTGTTTCCAATTATAGTCATCATATTTTCTAAGCCCAGTTTTCTTTAAACAGTCAGAAAATCATTTTGAACAAAAAGCTTGGGAAATCAAAGTTTAAGATCTTTAAATTATTGTATTCTGTGATAGCATGCCATATTTAGCTATCGGAAATTATGGTTTGTATACTCAGATATTTAATTTTCTTTACTCTCTTTTTTTTATTCGTTCTTTCTGTTTTCATTATTCACCACAATGCTTGTTCTCCTTTTCATTAATTCAGAAGATCTCTGTTGCTTAATGTTTGGTCATTATGATGATCTTCCGTTGAATATTTTCCCTTGTTTACGTCCTTTACTAATGCTATTTCTCCTTTTCTTTAATATAGGAAAAGCAAAGATGGAGATGCTGATACTAGTCTCTCCAAATCATGCCCAATGCCACTTAAAAAGGTTTGTTTAAAAGTTCTCCTAGTTTCTTAATTTAATTTGTATTGAATACATAATCGTGATATTGATATTTGATTTGGGAATTTTTGGCCTTCATTAAAACATTTTTTTAAAAGTCTCTAGCTTTAAAATCTTTCAGATTTTGTATATAAAACCCTTCAATTTGATCAAAGTGTTGATGAATGATGCATATGTGTACACTGCTTTCCCTTGTCATGATTGCTACTATTGGTGTCAAGCTTTAGAATTTTTGAGACTTGGTTAGTGAACGGCTACTAACTCTAAGTTACTGGCAAGTGGCAATGACTTCTTTAAATGATTGTTCTTTTCCTTTTAAATTGTTAAGGCTCCATTTGATTGGTGCTTTCGTTTTTTTTCCTTTTATTTTCAATGTAAAGTGAAAAGCAAAAAATTAAAAATGAAACAAAAACAATGGACAAATAGCGAAAAGTAAAGAGCAAAAGCACCAACCAAATAGAGCCTAAGTTTTTAATCTTGTAGGTAGGGGTGTAAATGACCAAACATGAATGGACTTTGCTATGTTTGTTATTTGTTCATTTAATTAATGAACCTCGAATCCTTGTCAGTGATCGTTTGTTAAGCTTAATAAATGAATATAAACAAATAGAAACTGAGCCTGTTCTCGAATTGTTCGTCGAATGTTCTCTTTGTTTATACTTCCACATTATAAAAGAATCGAACATGGACAAATTTTACTATGTTTATGATCTGTTCGTTTAATTAACAAATCCCAAAATATTGTTTGTGATCATTTATTAAGCTTAATAAATAAAAATAAACAAATGAAAATCGAGTTTGTTTACGAACCAGTTGTCAAACTTTTGTTCATAAACTATTTGTCTAACCTTTTATTCGTTTACACCCCTATCTGTAGGGGTGGAAATGAAGAAAGAAGAAGAGGGAAAGAGGGGGTGTTGGTGGTGGTTGTGGTACAGAAAATTGCTGCACCAATGGAGTATTACCGTTTTCAATTCATGGAATCAATTTCACCCCAAAATGACTATATTCTGTCTGTTGTTGAAGCATTAACATGTCAGTAATATTTGTAAGTCTGTACCATATGAACTTGTCATCCGTTTTCTGCTGGCATTGGGCCAGTACTCTGCCAAATTTTTACATCTTTCTTGCTTTTTGCACACAGCTATATGGTGGAATTTAACATAAAAACTTGATGAAGCATGTTTTTGGGAAGCAAAACAGTGATATCATTCCACTTTTCTCTCTGCAAATTGCTTTTTTGCTTTAGTTATATTATTAGTATTAGTTATTATATGTTGCTGTTTGCTTTTGCATTAAATCGTATCATGCTTTTGTCTCTTTGAATCTTTTTCTTCCATGAGTATGTGCATCCTTGAAGCTAATGTTATTAATATGTATTAAGCTGAGCTTATTGGTTTATGATGTCATCACAGAAGCAACGCAGAGAGAGGGCTGAGGTAAATGCTCCCAAGCATGACTTGTCCCAAGATTTCATTGACAAGCAGAAAGCTTATTTTGCGGAGATTGATGCATTTGAACCGGAAGAGGAGGTGGCATCAGCTGATGAGTTGGAATAGATGGAAATAGTATACAACTGAATGATTTAGAATAATGCAATTAAGGTGTTCTAACCCTGTAATATTCTTTGTATAATTACCGACAAATTTTGGCATAATAACCACCTTACCTAGCTATATCAGATACTTGAGAGTCTTCCCCATCATAGTCTAGTGCAACCACTTGTAGTTATCACCATGATAGTCTAGTTTACAGTATTGTTATCAACACATGGGCTCGATTCCTCTGCAGTTGTGAATTATTGATATCATGTCGTTATTGAGGAATTGCTTGTCAAATCTGTGTGGTGAACAAAATGTTGGACACCATCCAAGTCTTCGCTGTTGTAGTACCAATAATGATGGGCTATGCAGCAATCCTGTTGTACCAATCAACCACGCTTGAACCCTTTTGCCTTATTGGAAAGGCTTGAATCGGACTCCTTTTGGTTGGGGTGATGGAGCCTACTGAAAGAAACTTTTTACCCCATGTTGGGGCTAAATGAGTCTGGTTTATCCATTTCTTTTCAATAGGTCAAAAATGCTACCTGTTATAGATAAAAGTAGTCTTCTAATTGGTATATCGTATAGATTTTTTTGATAGAAAGATGTCGCAGTGGCCTAAAACATGAGAACGGATTGTAGATGTTTGGGATTTAAATATTAAATCTACAAAATGTCTCTTCGTAAGAATAGCGGCATAAATCAATCAAGTTAAACTATAGGTTTGTATATCATATAGATTTTCAATGTAATAACTATTGCCAATGAAAGGATCATGCTAAGTTCCAGGCTGAGTAGACAAACCAAATTCAATTGGTAGGTGGCACATATTCATGTTTTCGACTGAAGAATCAGGTTGAAAAAAAAGGCTCAATGGGTAAATCATCAGCAATTAAAACATCAAACAAACTGCCAACAACATTACTTCAGCTAGCTGAAATATCAAAAGTAGACTAAAACCTTGATCATTTTGGTGTAGGTGCAATTAAACCGTCACCAAGAACAGGTTTAGAAGCTTCAATTCAGTTTGTGCAGCTCACCATCATCACCAACGATAGAACGGAGTATCAATCCATCATGCATGTTAATATAAAGAAGATCTAGGACTATTTTCTTCGGTACATCTATGTGATGACAATTTCTCTAGCTCATGTTTAATACATAGAATCATGTATAAGAGAGAATGATAATTATCTTATATTATATTTGATATATATATATATATAAATAGAATTGTAAAAAAATTTAATCATTTTAGACATAAAATATTTTAATATTCTCAAAGTGAAAAAAGATCATTTTTAATATATGAAACTTAAATGTTTTATTATATTTTTAAAAATTATATTAATTATTTAAATTATATAAACTTAAAAAAAATAATTTTGATCATAAAATAAAATTATCATATCTTAATGTTTTCACACATAAAATATAAGATAAAATAATATTATTTAACTTAATATTATTCATAATATGATTTTATCTTATTTTATTATAATTTATGCACCAAAAACACCCTTTAACTCACTACTAATCTCATAATTCTTCCTATCATTAAAATTATGGACAGAAATTTCATGGTTGCTTTTTCCAGTCAATCTTGCTTTATTCAAAGTACACGGTTCATAATTCATAGGTGGATTAAGGTTATTGGTCCCTCTCTTTCCCCATTGTTTCCCAAATGTTCCCTTAATAATTTCCCTACTTTCCTTTTGCCTTGATTACTCGTTACCATTCATTGTAATTTAAAAAAAAAAAAAAGTAAAATTGAAATACTCAAACCAAAAGTGATAACAAAACTATAAAAAATAGATATTACATTTACAGCAAAATAAAAAATAAAAAAATACTTATAAAATAATAATTACTACAAATAAGTAAATGTTTCAAATATATTATATTATTTTATTTTATATAATCAAGTATATATATTTTTATGTTAAAATTTTTTCTTTAAATTATAAAATAATAGTATGAAATAAACTATTTCCTAATATATTTAATGAACTTATAAGCATATTACATGTGCATACCATATAAATAAATATAAAAGAATATTTCATTGATATATAAAAATGAAATAATTACATTTGTTTAAAGGAAAATTAAAAAAATAATTTTAAAAATTCTCTAATATCAATATAGTTTTTTAAAATGTTAATATTTTTTGTATATAAAACAAATAAATTTTTTATTTTGCAATAAACTATTTCTTAGCCTAAAACTGTTTCTCCGATCAAAACCCTAAGCCACTCTTTTCTCCTCTGCCTAAGCCCTCTCTCCTCAAAGCAAAAATGGTACTCGGCTCTTGCTTCTGTTCGTCTAATGGAGTATTTGATGAACCAAAGTGATTTTATCTTTTGCATTATATTTACAATTGTCTGATATTTTTGCAGACCGGAGAACCAGTGAACCCCAAAGCATACCCATTAGCAGATGCTCAATTAACAACCACGATTTTGGATCTTGTTCAACAGGCTGCCAACTACAAGCAGCTCAAAAAGGGAGCTAATGAAGGTTAGGAACAATCCCCATTTCCGTATTTTTTTTTTCCTTGTAATTGTTCTTATTGTTTCCGATGTGGGTTTTCTTCACCATTTCCATATTTGTTTTTTATTTTAATTATTCTTATTATTTCTGATGTGGGTTTTGATTGGCTTGTTGGGATTCAGCTACTAAGACCTTGAACAGAGGTATCTCTGAGTTCATTGTGATGGCTGCGGATACCGAGCCTCTTGAGATTCTGCTCCATCTTCCTTTGCTTGCTGAAGATAAGGTAATTGCTTTGTGGATTTTATGTACTTAATTCTCTTGGACTGGTTCAATGTTGTATATTTGAGGATTTAAACGGGCAAGGTAATTGATAAGTGGTATGTTAATTGTTACTTATACCTTTACTGTGAATTCAAACTTAGGCAAGGTCAAGCTGCTTGTTTGAATTGGATGGAATGTCTTTGTATGTTTGGTGGCATTGAAAATGGCTTATGTCTTTTTTTTTTTTTTTGCATAAAGCAATATGGGAACATGGAATTTTGAGCAATTTTGGAGCTTTCTCCCTTTTCGTTAAAGTACCTTTGTTATGTTATGCATTTCTGGTTGATAAGCTGTGGCTGTCTTTTATGTTGTTTCTCGCAATACTTTTTCTGTGTTAAAATTTCATATTACTGGAAGAGGTTTTTGACAAATTGTCTTGGTTTAGGAGCATATATAGTTTTATTCCTTCAAACTAATGATGTCCCTGGCAATGAATTTGAAACATCTAATTCTGCTGCCAAAATATCAGCCAACATAGGTTTAGGGACAAAAAATAAAAAAGAATTTAGTAATTTACATAAGATTTTACACTTTCTGTTTTACATGAAATGTATCCACTCTTGAGCTAAGAAGCATTCCTATCATAAATCTTGATGGTACATAGCAATGTAAAGTTCATTTTGAAAGCAAAATCTTAACTACCACACCTTGATTCCTTGCCATGGACTAAAACTCTAGGATCAGCAGCTAGATTTTCTATTTTCCCGTGGCTTTTGTTGAAAGATTACAATGAATACATAGTAATAACCTTTATATTTTGAATTTTGCAGAATGTCCCCTATGTATTTGTTCCTTCAAAGCAAGCACTTGGCCGAGCATGTGGGGTCACAAGACCTGTAATTGCGTGTTCTGTCACGACAAATGAAGGAAGCCAATTGAAATCCCAAATACAACAACTCAAGGTTATGTTATGGTAAATATAAAATGTTTTGCATTTGTTGTGGCTGAATTTTCTCCATTTTTCACTTGTGAAATGCAGGATGCTATTGAGAAGCTCTTGATCTAGAATATTATGGAACTCATATTCGGTGTGATGGGTCTCTTGGATTGTTGTGGTCGTTCCTTTGGAGGCTTTGACTGATGAAGTTGTGCCACTAGTGAACCAGTCTTTAGTATTTGACCTTTAATGTGATTTTTGTGTCTTATTCTGTTTTCTTATGAATTGAGAAAAAAGACAGTCTTGAATTGATATTTACCAGAACTTAGTATGAATGACACTTTTAATTAATGTAGTCTGTTTAATATGTTTTGTTAGTCCTGCTATAGTTTCTTTAATTATTCGCATAAATTTCTGCTTTCTTTGTCAACTTCCATGAAAAAGTAGAGTTACTTTGCTCATCTGATCTTCTTATTCAACTGGATTCAGTAAAAGTTATTCATTCTGATTAGATAAATTCTAGCATTCAAGCTGGCTCAACAGTTTCACAAATGGGTGATTATGGAAAAGATGGGTTAATCTAAACTCTGTTTTGGGACAGGAGCAATAGGGAAATAATGCATCTTTATTAGTTTTTAAATACACATTTATTCACAAAAGTGAAAGCATAGGACAAGTTTTAATAGTAAAGACAATGAAACAACTTGCTTGCATCAAACATTTTAAAGAACCTCAATGTAAAGATCAACAGACACTCATTTTTAACATTTTATACTCTCTTGTAAGAATGGAAAGCAAGTTTCAATTTGCTTTCCGGCAATTGATCCTGATTTCTCCAGCACTTCCTGTGAGAGGCTTGACGTTTCCCATTTTGATCATAGACTTCGGAAATTCCTGGAAAAATAATGAAATGTTGGCTGCATAACTTTTAACCCAAACATCAGTAGAACTTCCATTGAAGAGCTCTTGATCTGAATGAAGTAGACCTGTCTTATTTAACAAATTCTTGTAATATAAATTATCAAAAAAGGTTGGTGTTTGACGATCAAGGGGAGCAAGCACACTATCATTTCCACTTCTTGGGCAAGTACGCCGCAATGAGCTGGCGAAGGAGGGGTCGATATTGGAGTCATTATAGATGTGTCCTCGAAATGATGTGCATCTGGCCATGCCAATGGTGTGTGAACCTGAAATCCAAAATGAACCATTATACCTCTAAATAGCATGATAAATTTGATGCTATAAATGTATTTGTTCAAGAGAATAATGAATGATGACTTGAACAGTATTATCTTCCAGAGCTAGTAAATGAGAGGCGGTTTGTCTTCTTCAAAGATATCAGCTTTTTTTATACAGTCAGCCAAGTAATGGATTACCAGCAAGTGTTACTAGGTCTTTTATTGAGAGACCCTGAGCAGAGAAGCTTGAAATAAGAGCACTTAGATTAGAGGTTGGTGGGGGGATGGAGGTATTTGCCACACTTCTGCTAGCTGTGGTAGAATCCCTTCTTCCCAACCTTACCTTCCACGAGGGACCTCCTAACTGCAAACACCAGAAAATTATCATCAAGAAAAAGTATACTATGAGTCTCTATAAATAATGTTTGCTGACCTGAACAACCGAATCGCGAGCTGCTATAGCAAGAAGATCAGCGCAGGATACCACTCCAGGACATGCTTTCTCCAGCTGGGCTTTGATGTTATCAACCACGTTGAATCCTCTAGCAGAGTTATTGTTAGGAACTGCAGTTTTCTCACCTATAAATGTGGCATTATCATCTAATAGTACTGATCCATCACAGCCCTAGCCATCATAAAAATTCAGTTTAGTTAATTCAGCAGCAGCATACATTATCAATGAAATTGAACCCATACTCACATTAACAAAACAGTCATGAAAATGTAATCTGAGCAAGGATGCCCCTATGCGCGTTTCATTCTTTATAGCAGCTGCAACTGCTGCCTTAACAATAGGAAATGCTTGTGGACAAGTGGAGGAGTAGTAATCAGGGGAGAGTTGGCCATTGGTTTGAAATGAAGCGGCAGCAGCAATCAAGATAAGAAACAATGAATGATAACAAGCCATAGAAACACTTTTATCTAATTCAAGAAAAACAATATCACTTGTAATTTCTTTCCAATTATTTTGAACAATTGTGACTGATTGGAAATCTAACCATCTCTTTTTATAGTGAGTAACGCATGCAGATTTTGATTATCACAAAAATGGAAACGTGTACGTGTTACAGAAGGTAACGAAGGTTGGCAAGTTCTTTTTGTTCATTGCCTTTAGTTTGTTGAGATGTTTTTTCCAGGAAGAGCTTCTGCTAAAAGCCTGAGGTTCCTTCGGCCTCCATGGTGCCTTGGGTAAGATTTATCTTACCCATAAACAAAAGAAAATTAAGACTGCACCGTCAAGATTAATGGAGCCTGATCACTGTAGTGGGTGAAACTCTGTTTACTTTCTCATATTTTAGTTGTAATCAGAATCATATTCACATAATTGAAGGCTTTAAGCAATCAGGAAAGTAAAAGTAAAGTTTCACTGTTTATGATTAACTGCTCATAAAAGTAGTTTTTCTATCAGTTAATTTTGTACTAAAGAAGTGATGTGAAAGAACCTAATTATTCATCACTTTTTTTTTTCTTTTTTCTTTTGTTATAAGCTCTCAATAAGGGCTAGAACTTTGATTTTTTTTTTTTTTTAATGAATATGGGACAGGCAATTGTGATGGAAATGGTTGCTATAATGCTTCTAGACACATCATTTTTTGCAGTTTCTTATTACATTTTCAGCTGGCATTTTGCAATTGACTTTTCTGCAGTTGATCCTGATCTCTCCACAACTTCCTTTGAGGAGCTTGATGGTTCCCATTTTGATCATAGATTTGGCAAAGTGCTTGAAAAATTCAGATCTGCAGCATACTCTTTTACCAAAATATCAACAGAAGTGCCATTAAAGAGCTCTTGATCAGACCAGAGGAGACCCTTCATCTTAAACTAGTTGTGGAAATACGAATTATCAAAACAACATGGCGTATGGAAATCAAGGGGTTTAGGCACATTATTGTTTCCACTTGTCGGGCACTTCTGCTGCAAGGATTTGGCGAATGAGGGATCGATGTTAGAGTCATTGTAGATGTGTGTTCGAAATGTTGTGCACCTGGCCTGACCAATAGTGTGTGAACCTGCCATTCACAATGAGCCAATAATTTGTTTAAGTTATGTATCTTTAAATTACAGGATTAATCAAAGAAAACGATTGCTCATCTGCTTGTTTTTTTAATTTTTCCGTCAACATCCCTTTGCTACGAAATTGAAAGAAAGTATATATGTTGTTGACAGATTTCTTGATCATTCATGAAATAGTGCATTATTAGCCAACTTAAAGTCTCATTACCTGAAAGTGCCACCAAATCTTTCAGTGAGAGTCCTTGAGCAGCAAAAGCTTGATAAAGAGCTCTTATATTGAAATTGGGTCCAGGAAAGGAGTTGGTTGCAGCAGCCCTGCTAGCAGTGGTAGAAGCCCTGCTCATTTTCATTATCCAATTCACTTTAATTGATTAAAAGCATTAACCTAGAACATAAACCAGTTTATGAAAGTGAAATGATACATTAACAAAGAAGTCAAGGAAATGCAACTGGAGCAAAGATGCCCCCATGCGCGGTTAGCTGCTAATCCTTCTTCAACAATAGACAGTACATTGGGGCAAGTGGATTTGTCGTAGTGTGAGGACAGATTGCCATGGCTGCCTTCAATAGATGCACCAGCAACAAAAAAGATCAGCAGGACTAACAAGTAACATGCCACGAAATTCTTATAAAATCTTAAAAACCAAAGGTTATTGCCTTCCTAAACTACACAAAACTGTAACATACAGCACCCTTAAGCCTAATGTAGATCATAAAGGAAAAATACTTCATTTAGAAATTTAGTGATTGGTATTAACAAAAAAGTGTAAATACGCAGCTTCATACACAAAGGTGATAACTAGTTTATACGGTGGTTAAAGTCTTACTCTATTAATTTCAAATAGACTTCGAGTAACCCTTAAAGTAATGGCAACTTGTTTCTTCTAGCTATGTTTGGCCTATACCAAGGGACCTGAAACGTTTAACAAGCTCATAAAATTACATTTTCTCTTTACATTACACCAAACACCGTTCCTATTAAGGCGAAACTTAGAATGTTCATTAGTACACAAAAAGTGACTATTTTGCAGTTTTGCTTTCTGTCTGATGGATTACGATCAAGTCATGAAGCAGTTAGATTATAATTCTCCTTGGCTATCTTTGATAATTAGGCCATGGGGAATATGATTTTGTTTTGGTTAAGCGTCCTCAAATTATCCACTTTAGGGAACATTAAAAAAAAAAAAAAAAAAAAAAAACTCATTGATTACACTTCATATTCATATTGATGGTCCAGCAGAGGCAAAGACTTTCACATCATTGTCTAAATAATTGCCTTGTTTTTACCTTTGATGCATCTATTAAACCAGCAAAGGTGGAAATAATCTATGTAATGATGACATTGGGGACCATTTTTAAACAAAATTTCTGATATTAACTGCAACAGCAATGTACTGGCTGTTGATATGAATTAATCACAGGAAACCTTCGATGAACAGAGTTCATATCCGCCTTCTTTTTTTTTTTTTTTTCTCTTTTTGGATAATTGAAAATTTCTTTCACCTCAAAAAGGTTTGCAGGAATATCCATCCTATTAGCCTACTAAAATACCACAACTGTTAAAACAAATGAGCAAAAGAAAAGAAACAAGTTGAAACTGACAATGACTCAAAACTGTGAGAACCCAAACCTTGGAAAGAATCAGAATTCATTCCATTGAAATATATTGGGTTTCTGAATTGGTTGAAACAATTACTAATAAATGATACGAAGATAATAAATAATAAATTTATGAATAATGGAATAGTCGAATTGTCAAACATTTCAACATTTCTCTTCCTCCATAATCAAATCGTTTCATGCATACCAGTGCATCTATTAATTAATTAACTTAAGTTGCAGTGTTAAACAATCAATCACGTTCATTTCAATTCCCATTTTTCTTTATGTATTCAAATGCACCATGTTACAACTCAAGTACAGTGTGATATATCCCCAAAGCCCACATGGCAAAAGAAAGCAATGGCTGGTTGCACATGCTGAAGCTCTACGTGTGAGAGCCAGATCAATGCATCAAGTCTCTCGACAACTAGTACTAAATTATCAGGATTTTCATCACATCCTTCCAGGCTAAACTGTTGACATTTCCTTTTCATTTCATAAATTGTTTATGGTTTTATTCAAGCTACAAATAGGCACTGTTGGAGCTGTTGACCTCGTAACAAATTTATTTGGAATTGATTAGATATTACTTGATGAACAAAAAAATTTACAAAAAAAAAATTCTAAGAGGAAATAGATTCTAAATAGGCAAGTTTATATGGTTATAAATAAGTGAAATCTCTATGGGGTTAAGTATGAGAAAAAGATATAAGAGAATTGTAGAGTTTTATGGGATAGACACCCCATACAACTACTGGAAGATTTATTTCTTATGGGTGTATATGTTTGAATGTTTGTGAGTGGACTAGAGGAGACTGAAAGAGTCCACATAGGTATGGTACATGGGTGCACAAGGTTATGTATTTATTTAGTTTGAGAACACTCCATAAAACTAGAAGAGATTGAAAGGATCTATGAGTATTAATTGTGAGTGCTTGATATGGATATATGTTTGTAATTTTTTATAACTAATAGATCTTGTTTCTCATCTGTGGACGTAGGTCGATTGGACAGAACCACGTTAAATTATTATCTATTGTGTGATTGATTGATTGTTTGATTTCGCTTCCGCTTGTATGATTGGATTGGAGCTTTTTGACCTAACAAGTGGTATCAGAGCTAAAGGTTTGAGACATAGAAAGAGTTAAAAGTTTGAGCAATGGGAAGAGATAAGCTTAGAAGGGCTTGATTCAAGAGAGGAGTTCAAGTTCATGTTTTGAATATTGAAGATTGATTTACGTGAAGTGTGAAGATATATAAGAGAAGATGATTATGAAACTTCTATTATAGGTGGAACCAAGCATGTTTAATATGAAGACAGATGATTTGATGGAATTTGAATCAAGGTGAAGATTGTTGAAAATAGTGACTCAAATTTCATAATAGATTTCTTTGAAATTAGTTAGATATGTTTGATGGACAAAAAGACTTGCAAAAGAAAATTCTAAGAGAAAAAAAATTCTTAATATGCAAGTTTGACTTGCAGAAAAAGAATTCTAAAAGGAAATGGATCTTAATAGGCAAGTTTGTATGGTTATAAATAGGTGAAGTTTCTGTAAGGTTAGGTATGAGAAAAAGATATAAAAGAGTTGTAGAGTTTTATAGGATAGACACCCATAGGACTACTGAAGATTTACTTCTTGTGGGTGTATATGTTTAAATGTATGTGAGTGGACTAAAGGAGATTGAAAGGGTTCAAGAATTCTAAGAGAAAAAAAATTCTTAATATGCAAGTTTGACTTGCAGAAAAAGAATTCTAAAAGGAAATGGATCTTAATAGGCAAGTTTGTATGGTTATAAATAGGTGAAGTCTCTGTAAGGTTAGGTATGAGAAAAAGATGTAAAAGAGTTGTAGAGTTTTATAGGATAGACACCCCATAGGACTATTGAAGATTTACTTCTTGTGGGTGTATATGTTTAAATGTATGTGAGTGGACTAGAAGAGATTGAAAGGGTTCATAGGTATGGTGTATGTGAGTAGACTAAAGGAGATTAAGAGGATCTACAAAGATATGGTGCATAGGTGTACAATGGTATGTGTTTATTTAGGTTGAGAATACTCTATATGACTAGAGGAGATTGAGAGGGTTTATGGGTATTAATTGTGAATGCTTGAAATGGATGTATGTTTGTAATTCTCTACAACTAATAGATCTTATTTGTCATCCGTAGACATAGGTCGATTAGACTAAATCACATTAAATTATTATTTCTTGTGTGATTAATTGATTATTTGATTTTACTTCTACTGATGTAATTAGATTAGAGTTTTTGGCCTAACAGGAGCAACACTGAAAATCTAGAATTACCATTTTTTGTATATTTGAAATTTTAAGAAAAGGTTCCAAAATGTGTAACGGTGTCACTTTCTTTAAGGTTTTATTTGTCTCTACTGTATTATTTAATTAGTAGGTATGCAAAAAGATTACAGGTAATAAACCTTAATGATACAATAAAGCTCAGTGATTGATTACATTTTGCATTGACAAAATCAATCCACTGAGTATTCATTGATGTATCACAAGATCACCGAACTT